CTTCCCTTCCCTTCCCTTCCCTTCCCTTCCCTTCCCTTCCCTTCCCTTCCCTCCTTCCCTCTCACTCTCTCTCCTTTCTTTCTCTCTCTCCTTTCTTTCTCTCTCTCTCTCTCTCTCTCTTTCTCTCCCTCCCTCCCCTCTCTCTCTAGTATGGGAAGGCTGGAATAAACATACTAAGTTAAAAACCATTCCTTTCCTGTTTAAATGCCAGCAAAGGATTCTAGGTTGGGGACTGCAACTTTTTTCTTGATAGGACAGCAGGCTACAGGAGGCCTTGCAATGCCATGGTAACACCAATGGAAATAGTAGCAATGGTTTTTTCAACCATTATTTTTAAATTATTTGCAGGGTTTAGGAGATTTTAATGGGGGGAATAGGAGGAACATGTCTCCCAAAGGCCTTCTGTTTCCATTCCCATCATTATTTTAAAAAAACTGGCCATTTTGCTGCCCATGTTCAGAGACAAATAGGTTGCTGGTGGAAGATGCATGTGGGGCAATGCTTTGCAACTGTCAACCTTTAAATTAATTGTAGATTAACCATGCAAGGACAGGGTCACTCCTACATAATTATACAATAGTTTAGTTTTGGTTTTGAACTTTTCACTTTGTTTGTTTTTTTTTAACAACTACAACCAGAAAACTATGGTAAGTTTTAACTATTTGTGTATTATTTTACAAGAATGTAAAAATGCCAACATGAAAGCTTACTACAACATATTTTCATCTATAATGTATAATATTTATTAGCAAATGTATGTAATATATATTCAGGTAGTCCCCAATTTAAGAACGAGTTCCATTCCCAGGGTCTGTCTTTAAGTCAAATTAGTATGTAAGCCAGAACAGTATTATTGTAGAATACTGTAAAGTTTTTTTTTTTTAATGTGTTCAATCGTGTCCGATTCTTGGAGACTGCCTGGAGAAGTCCCTGCAGTTTTCTTGGCAAGGTTTTTGAGAAGTGCTTTGCCATTGCCTCCTTCCTAGGGCTGAGAGAAAGTGACTGGTCCAAGGTCACCCAGCTGGCTTCGTGCCTAAGACTGGACTAGAACTAATAGTCTCCCAGTTTGTAGCCTGATGCCTTAATCACTGCACCAGACTGGGTCTCTACTATGTAAGTAGCATTGTGCAATGACCTCGAACCAATGTGTATTTAACTTGAATTTTGTCAAAATAGGCTCCATTCTTAATTATGGGTCGTCCCTAAACCAGGCGTTCTTAACTCGAGGACTACCTGTAATTTCATTTGCATTTTATAGAGCATTTAACATGTTTTTATATATATATATATATATATATATATATATATACACACACACACACACACACACACACACACACATTATGAAATACAAGAAATATACTTATTTATAAGATCCCTATAGAATAGGTTTTCTGGGTGTACATTTATTATAAAAATAGGAGACTACAATAAAATATTTAAGTATTGTATTTCATTTTTACTATCACCTCCTTGAGTACTTTTCTGAGCAGAAAAGCAGAATGTAAACTGTATAAATAATGTATTACATAGTACAAATACAAAAGTCAATAGAAAGCCAACACGATAAAAAAAAAATTAAATAAGAAACTAAAACTACCCAAAAATAAGATCCTCAAAGTCATATATAAAAAATATTTTAGTCTTATCAAGATAAGAAAATCCTCCTAGTGAACCAAGTGCTAACAGATGCTGATACTCAGTTCCCAGATTTTCCTAATATCTAGCAGAATGTAACTTATGAAGCTCATAAGCAATAAGAATCATCAGCCTGGCCAGACTGGTTATTTAATTTAACAGAAAACAACCCTAGGTTTTTAACTTCTGAGTTCTGGCTCACCAAAAAGAGAGCAGCAGCAATTTAAAAGGGATTCTACCCACATTTATTTATGAGTATGTTTTATTAAGCTTAGCAGGAGTTACATCTGAGAAAGCATGCATGGTGCTTAAATGCAAAAATTACATCAGAGCACTGTGACTCTTTAATTAGAGTGCTAGTACTTATACACACAGAACACTAACACTGAAGGTAGATATTCAAAAGAAATAAGGAAAATACTATTTCAATATCTCATTTACCTTGTCAATATGAGGATGCCAATATTCATCATGGGTTGTCTTTGCTTCTGAGTTATTTATTCTAGAGAAGAAAGTTGGTTTCGTCAAATACATGGAAGATGAGCTGATACCAAAAGCAAGGGCTACTTTTTGTTGAATTCTTTGCCTCACATCACTGCAAATAAGAAGAGAGCACCTGGACTGAGTGAAACTATGCAAAAAGCACTGGCTTTATTTTAAATATACTCTTTTGCTTCACAATAATATCTAACATTTATACACAGAATATTAAAATAAGTCCATGCACATTATCCCAGGAATTCTATGTCATGATGTATAGCACAATTAATTATAATGCATCATAGACAGTGACCTAGAGAGTATAGCTTGCATTAAAGCCATAAATCAGATTTATAAATCACAATGGGTGAATTCAATGTTGTCATTCCACTTGTGGAACAGCTTTTGATCCAGCAAACATCTCTATTAATGGAAGAGGAGGGAAAGAAATATTCTGTTACATTTTGGTGGAAGGCCTGAAACAGGCATAGTGGGAACCAGTGGTTCCCAGACTTGACAGAACTGTTATCTAAAAACTGGACAGTTATTTCCCACTTCCAAGGCTCAGAAGAGAATGGGCAAAATATGATTAATTCAAACAGATGGCAGGAAAAGACCTAGAATCTAAGCCTTAATCAGACTTATATATAAAACTTGATTGTTGTGTTCTGAAATAGACTGATCTACCTACCTACCTACCTACCTACCTACCTACCTACCTACCTACCTACCTATGGCTTCTATCTTATCTGCAATAAAACAGCTCATTCATATCTGTGAAGCAACTGCTTAAATAAGTTCCTAGATATAGGTCTGACTATCTGGAGAATCAATATTTATTGCCTTAGCTGTAGTGAAGTTTCACATTTGGGCTGGTGGAGAGAAGAGGAAGCTGTAGCTGTAGAATTAAAGCAGTATTACAATGTCACAAGAAACATTAATTTTCACTCCTAATTTTTCTTTTCAATACTATAAAACTATAGGTAGTCCTTGAGTTATGACCATTCGTTCGGTGACCATTTGAAGTTAGAGCAGTGCTGAACAAACGGTACTTAGACTTGGTTCCCGAAATTATGGATGTTGCAGCACCCCTGCGGTCACGTGATCAAAATTTGGGTGCTTGGCAGTCTGCCTGCACTTACAGCCGCTGGGGCACTTCAACTCCGCCCACCCGCCTATCTCCCCCCATCTCTGTCCTTTTGGCCCCCTGCACTCCACAGCCCTGCTGACCTGCGTTCTGCTGCTCCCAGCTGACCTTCGCTGTCTTCTTACTCTCACTGCTGATCAAGCACACCCAGCCTGGCTCTTCATAAGGCAGCTGCTGGCTGCACAAGGCCTTCTTCCCTAGGTTGTACACAGTGTTTTTCTCACAAGACCTCAAGAAGAAGGCCTCGCATGGCCAGCAGCTGCCTTGTGGAGGGCCAGGCCGGGCACACCTCATCAGGAGTGGGAGCAAGAAGATGGCAAAGGTCAGCTGGGGCGCAGCACAGGGCGTTGAGGTTGGCTGCAGCTTTGTGCTGTGCAGCTGGGCTGGGGCGACTGTGCTGAGGCAGCTGCAGCTTCATGCTGTGCTGTTGGGCTGGGGCAGCTGCAGTTTCCTGGGATGGCTGCGGCTTTGCACCGTGCAGCTGAGCTGGGGCAGCTGCAGCTCAGGGACTTCTTGAAGTCCCAGAGCCGCAGCGCACCAAGAAGGCCCTGAGCCACAGTGCAGCAAGCAGCCCCAGAGCTGCGCAGTTCTGGGGCTGTTTGTCGCCCTACAAGGCAGGGTGCAGGACAGCCAAAAGGGCAGAGATGGGGGGAATGGGTGGTTGGGGGGAGTTGAAGGGGAGGCAGTCCTTTACCTTGGAAAAACTGAGGCTCAGGGCTGGGAAGGACCAAGCTGGGAATGGCATGGATTGGGTGGGTTCTTGGCTAATGATCAATGGCAACAGAGAGTGCCAGGATTGCTGTTGCTAAGCGATGCATTCACGTGACATCATGCTTTATGACCACATCGCTTAGCGATGGAAATTCTGGTTCTGACTGCCGTTGTAACTCGAGGACTACCTGTATATTACAAACAAGAGCATTGTTCAAAAGTACAAGAACACAGGCTTTATGAATTCCCACAAAAAGCAGTAGATGTTGCATTTGTGCTTTGATTAGCAAAAATTATAGCAAGCAAGATATTTTTAAAAAAGAACAATCTCATATTAGCTTCCTTTTTTGCTTTATACACATATGCATCATACTAAGGATATTTTTTAATAATTCTACTTCTTGGGCCATTTTATTGTGATTTTTATTGCAACCTAGCATTCTGTGTTTTTAACTTGCAATGGCAACTGCTAAGGCTCCAGAGGCACCTTTATATCAGTGGTTCTTAAAATGTGGTCTGGGGAGACCTGAGACCCTTTCAGGGGGTCTGCAAAGTCAAATATACAAATACTGCAAAATTTCTCTGTTTCAGTTTCTAATACAGCAAATATCGGCAGATATAACCCACATAAATCAAAGGTCTTTGGGGTCCTCAATCTTTTAAGAATATAGAGGGGCCCTGAGACCAAAACGTTTGAGAATCATTGCTTTACACTATCAGGATGGTTTATAAGCAGCAGTGATTTCCATTTTCAGTGCCACCAGTGCAGATGTCCAGACACTTATACTGCAGCAACTAATCTATCAGTGAGCCAAGAGAACCCTGTTCACTTTATAGATCTGTGGACTCTGGGTTGGCTTTTCAGCTTGAGTTACTTGTCCCAGAGCAGCAGACTGAGTTCTGCTTCTCTACCTGCTTTGTAATTTGCTCAGCCATTTTGGAACCACCTTTTGACCTCCAAACCAAATAGGAATTCTACACATTATTTGAGATTGATTTGACTGAGTTATGCTAAGATGCTTTTTACAAAATCAATTTGTTGTGATGGAGTGAGATTCTGGTCACCTTAGAATCACATTGGCAATTTGATGCTAAAGGGGTCTTCTGCAGAGGATGCTCAAGTACTAAAAACGGGATCTGACTTGAATGATTAAACGCTGAAAAAAAAGAGGATGAGATAAGGAAGGAATAAAGATGAGATAAGGAAGGAATGCTTTGCCTTTCAGCACACTAAATTTGCTGAATTTTAAATTCCAAGAATGCCAATAGACTTGCACAGCTTCCATTGTCTGTCTTTGTATGCAGATATATTACATCTGGAATACTTTTGTCTGTCATGATTCTGAAACTGACAAACATGCACTGATTCGACGTCTGAAATGTGTCTCCACATCTATATGACAGACACCAATGTCCATATTCTCATCACCTCTAGCAGATTTAAAATAAAAGAGATTGTCTATCTAACAGCACATACTTGCACATTACACAAATGTTGTTTTCCTTCATTATCCTCAATGCTTCTTTTCTGTATCTCAGATCTACTAGCTTTTTTTTTTTTAAAAAAAAGTTCATTCAGAAGGAAACTTATTTTATCCAAGCAAATCAGTCTGAAGGTCTCATCTATTTTCTTTCAGTAAACTTTGCCCATCATTTACAAATCTTGCTCAATAACTATAGTTTCTATTCACGTAGTCTATTTGACAAAAATCAATCCAGCCATTCAAGTAGACAATAAGGCTTTTCTTCAGCTATTCTCTTGAGCTGTCATTCTGAAGGCCATCCACATACTGAATTGTACCGAAAAATCCTTTAAGTATTTCTTCTGTGCTCTCTGACACAATAGTTGTGATTAGATCTAAAAGGAATCAGATACTCTTTAATACAGACCCACGATCAGAGACGATAATCCAAAATGAAAGGTTATTTAACATCAACCCACCATTTAGACTTGTATTTATCTGCCTATTCAGAATGAATCTTCTACCTAGAACCTGATATATTAGAGGCAGTATCCAGTAAAAGAAGCAAATACACAATATAACCTGAATTGCAAGCATAACACCTATATAGGCAGAATTCATTCATTAATCAGATTAAAATAATTAAGACTAAATCATCCTTTTCTGGTTCAAAATACCACATGTCAATACAGTTAGCCCTTCCCACACAATCAGCCTGCCTCATCTTCCAAGAAAAAGAACTGAAAAAAACAGATATAAAAAGCACAATCACCATTTTGAATTTCTCTGCCAGGTTCTTTATCGGCTGCTGAATATATCTCCTTAGCACCCACTAGGTGCCAGATATGAATGCACAAGCATGCATATCCTGGTGAAGCTACATGCAGGTATGTCTCTTGCAAGCATTTATACCCAAAATGAAATTAATTTGGGAAAAGAATCCCTCAGCAAGGTCTAATGTGCCTAAGAGTCTCAATTAATCTCCTATATCCAACATGCACCCAAAAGTAAAAACATCACCTCTCTGAGAGAAACAGAGCCATGGCTCCCAAGAGCCAAAATACCTCCAAGCATATCTCTGGGAATGATGTCCCTGGCTGCTAGCCTTAAATAGGAAGATTACTCCATCTCCTACAGCCACAGCTACTATTCCATGTGCTCGAAATGAGCAAAGCAAGTCATTTTGCTCTCCATTCCCAGGGACAAAGCTTCAATATCCCTATAAGCACTTACACATATCCTCCAGGCAAGCCCAAAGCAGAAATTACACCCATCGCATGCAGCCAGAAGGAGCCACTTAGACTGAGAACAGCCTCAAGTAAGACTCCTACACAGCCCTCAAGATATCAGGGACAGAGCACCAGGAACACCCCAAATCCCATGGAACATCCCTTTTCAATGTCAGAGCACTCATAATACCCAGCCATATATTGAACAAGAATCAGGACACAGAGGAACACCATCACCATCATTGTAATTCACAAAGAGCACTATGTTGGGTCAGAATGCACACTTCTATCAGTATCCACATAGCATTCCACACCAGTGAGAGGTATAAGAGACATACACAATCCATGAAAGAATTTGTCATAATGATCTAGATAAGGGAAATGAATGAGAAAGGCATGAACTCCACCTACCAAACCCATGAAGAATGAGTTGGCAAAGGTCTTCATCCACAATAAAAGAGCTGGGTTGCACAACAAATCCCACATGCCCCATTACAAACAGTTGGCTACCTCCCTCCTGGAGCACAGAGATGAACTTTTAACAAATACCATTAGCAGCTGGATCTCATTGAATAACAGAGGCATTAGTAGTCCAGCAAGTCAGCCTGGCTTGAAAAATCCTGTTTGTAAAGTACACTCCATTTCTGCCCAGGAGCCACAGATGTGCACTAGTGTCAGGTTTTCCTAAAGAGTCACAGAGCTGTCAAGTAAACCCTGAAACAGCTGCCACTGCCAGCAGCAACCCAAAAGACCAGGAGCAGAAACCCAATGCCAATGAAACAGTGTCTGCTTTGAAACAAACCAACGGTCCTTGTGAACAAGGGATGCATGCCCAAGGAGGTTTCCAGGTTTGAATGCTCCCACAGCTCCTAACAGTTATCTACCACCACCACCATCCAGTGTAAATAGAGCATTGAAGATGTGTTCAACCCAGAAGAAAGGAAGGAAGGAGAAAGAAGTGGCATGCAGATTCCCCTGACAAACAATAGGTCCAGAACACTCTCACTGAAGCCTTTTAGACTTCTACTCAAGCATCATCCCACAGTCCTTCTCAAGGTACCTCCAATGGCAATGAACAGCTGATACCAGCTGAGAACCAAGGTGGTGTAGTGGTTAAGATGCTGGACTAGAAGCAGTGAGATGCAAGTTCTAGTCCACCATCAGCCACAGAAGCACACTGGTTGATTTTGGGACAGACACTCTCTCCCAGCCCAACCTACCTCTCAAGGTTACTGCTGTGGGGAAAAACAAGATGCCACCTTGACCTCCTGAATGAAGAATATATATATTTAACAAATAAATAAATACCTGAATTCATAGGCTCAAAGAAAGTGGAGAAAAACCTGTAATGTGGCCCTATAAGCAGAAAGCAGGTACAAGCTTCACAGGTAATTGTTTGATTAAGTACCATCAAGTTGGAGTAAAATAATAATAATAATAACAATACAGTAATAACAGCAGCAGCAGCAGCAGCAGCAGCAGCATACAAAGCCAGAATTAAGAAGACAGCAACAGACAGCAAATGCCACCTCTGCAAAGAAGCTGAGGAAACAGTGGGCCACCCAGTTAGCTGCTGCAAGAAGATTGCACAGACTGACTACAAACAACAGCATGACAAAGTAGCAACAAGGGTGCCTCGGAATATCTGAAAGAGATACATTTGCCTGCAAGCAAGAACTGCTGGGACCACAAAACAGACAAAGAAATAGAAAACGAAGAAGCTAAAGTGCTTGGGGACTTTAAAATTCAAACAGACAAGCGCCTGCCACACAACACC